TTGGAGGTTGTGCTTTGCTTTTTGTCCTGTGGTCTCCGGGTCCTCTGCTCCCCTCTCCTCTGGTACTCTGGCCCATGGTCCGGCGGTTTTCTGGACTAGGGGGGTTGGCTGCTCCTTGGCCTTTTCAAGGTGAGTGAGCCCGTATCGTGTCTGATAGGTGAACAATTATCAATGGCAGTTGTTGATGAGGATTCACATGGGTTCAGCATTGAACATGATATGGGTCCTTGTTCAAAAGGAGCAGGGAGATTGGGGTGGGAGGCAGCGCCCCCCCCTCATTGGCCCAGTAATGCAAGATGCGGCAATTGTTGATGAGGATTTTGAGGACTCACTATTAGAAGTGATACGGGTTCATGTTTGAAAAGCCAAAGGTTGGGAGGGGGACGCAGCCCCCCCGTTTGCAAAGCATTGACAAATATGTGACTGTTGAAGAGGACTCACCCATCAGACATGGTTCACGCAAATCTTAAGAAAACAGGGGGTTGGGGGTTGCGCACGGCCCCCCCCAGTTTGCAAGCATTGACAGGGAGAGGATTCACTATGAGACATAATGCACGTTCGTGATTAATAAGAGGGGGGGGGAGCCCTTCTCATTTGCAAGTCATTGAGGGATGTGGCAATTGCTGCTGACGATTCACCATCGGACATGATACGCGTTCATGTAGCGCCGTCAGTCGCATATTAATGAATGATGTGGCCATTGTTGATGAGTGTTCACAATTTTGCATAACATGTAACAGGCGCGAACTGCATGACAGTCACCTCTGACGCGCTCACATATGCCAAGCATAATGTAACAGGCGCGAAACACGTGACAGTTGCCTCTGATGCGTTAACATGTGTGTTTGCGCGCCATGTTTGGAAGTGGAACAGGCAGGCAGCAAATTTATGACCGTTGCCTCCAATGCGTGCGCATGTGTTTTTTTAATGTATATGGTACATGAGGGTCTACAAGAGGCATGAATTGCGTGACAGTTCACACTTGAAAACCTGGATATGACTAGCCTTTGACGCACTGAAATGTGATTTGTTACACAGTGTTTGGAGTGCAACAGGCAGGAAATATGTGACAGTTGCCTCCGCCGACGTGCCCCTAAAGACTGATGATAAGCTGAGGCATGTTCATGTCTGGGTTGTCTCTGTCTACAATTTCCTGGCCCTTTTGCGCTTGATAGATTTCAGACAGTTTGCGTGTTGTGTTACATGAAACGAGTTTCGACAAGTAGCGCTTCTCATGAAAATCTCCACAGCTGCGCAGTTGCGCACCCCTTGCCATGAGCGCATGCATCTCACACCGGTGGCGGGTTACGCAGCAGACCGATAGATGCCAGCAAGGGGGGGCGCAGGCCTCCCATTTGCAAAGAATTCACATATGTGGCACTTGTTGATGAGGATTCACTAACTAATAAACATGATTCGGGTTCATGATTTAAAAGAGCGGGGGGGGGGGTTGGGGGGAGGGCAGCCCGATTTATCATCAGATATGAGACAGGCTCATGTAATCTGAGCCCGCGCACTGGCACACCGTTCAAAACTTGCAGTTGTTGATGAGGATTCACATTGGAGTGACATGATGCGTGCTCATCTTTTCAAAGCGGGGGGGTTGCAGGCAGCGTAGCCCCCTGGATTGGCAAAGCATTGAGGACTGCGCCAGCTTGTTGATGAGTATTACTATTAAACCTACTATTAGTGAATCCTCACCAGCAATTGCTGCCTCAGTCCTGCAAGCCCCAATGGACTAAGACCGCAGAGCGCTGTCACGAGCCCGGGCATTTACCATTCTGACCCAGGCTTGCCCAACTGTGGCGCATCTTTCACTGCTTGGCGCAGAAGGGGGTGGCTGCGCTCCCACTTTTGAAGCGTGAACCGCGAAATTCCTCAACAGCTTGCAAGAGAGTGGACTCTGGCACACTCCTCAATGGTTTGCAATGGGGGGCCTGTCCCCCCAAACCACTCGCCAAATAACATGAGCTCGTGTCCAGACATAGTGTAACAAGGCACACATCAATGCGTCGCAGGCGACTGTAACACATTTCGCGCTTGCCACATGCACAAACATACTGCAACAAGGCACATGCCAAACGCGTCGGAGGCAACGGTCATGCATTTCTTGCCTGTTACACTTCCAAACATGGTGCAAAACAAACATTTCAGTGTGTCGGAGGCAACTGTCACGCATTTCCTGCCTGTTACATGTCCAACCATAATGCAAACGCAGGCATTCCCAAGCCCAAACCCACCCCCCCAAAAGGAGCATAATTCTGACCCAGAGTGCGAGCTTGCTGAGCCCCAGCCTCCTCCAAGCGCCATGGCGTCAACTGTGTTGCTAGCAGCTTTTCTCAGCAGGCTCGCAGCTGCCAAGAGGCTTGGGTGTGATATTAGTTTGACGCCTCTGGCACCAAAGGGTTTGGGCAGATTGTGGGATCCGTGCGTCAGAAAGAACTTCCGCTGATGACTGAAAGCTTCCCCAGCAGCCTCGCGGAGGCAATAGAACCTGAGACAGCTCAAGGTCTGATGATAGTCGGCTGAGATCCAAGGACTGAGGACAGCTCCCCAGTCAATGTCCAGATCTTTGGGGAATCGGGCTGCCCGGACACTGGCTTGCGAGCGGCAGTCATCGGACTTTGTGTAGCCCAGTCAGCAGGATCGCATGGTTGAGGCGCCAGGATGAGACACCGTTTGTTCTTTCGCCACGAAGCAGATTGCCAAAGGAGGGAACAGGGTCTCTAACACAGCGTTGCTGAGACTTGCTTTCCCAACCTCAATAGATGAGGATTGATTGTTACGGTGACTGGCCATAAAGCATTGCAGACCCAGGACACAACTGCCTTCATCGCTGGGCCACTTGCTGAAGCCGAGCAGGCCAGGGATTTAAGATGATTCAAGTTGAGCGGTGTTGCGAGGCTATGTACGGCTGTAGCGGGTGACCTGAGCTTCGCACTGGGAATGTTGGCGTTTGTTGGTTGTAGCTTTTTCGCGCTTTTTCCTGAGTCCTGTGGATCCCAGACTCCCAATAGAAGATGCGCCCACAGGTGCGAGGGGCTTTTGTGCATGTGATAATCTGAAATTTGCTCATGCAAGCTTGATGCCCTTTGGCAGGGTGTGATCAGAAAGGCTTCGCATGATCATGCAGTAGCTACTGTTTGTGCTTCGCTTCCGCCAGCAGGCACCAGGCGTCGCAGACATCATGAGCCGCCTGTTTGCATTTGGGAAAATTAGAGACTCAGAGACTTTCTGCTAGTGGCGGGCAAGAAGGCAATGTGCGACAATCCACCTCTTTGTTTGTTGCAGCCGCAGCTGGTACCAACTGGTGCCTGTTGCCCGCACCTCAATATGCTTGATGGATTGCTCCCAGCCGTTGTGGTATTTTTTTCTTACAGTATCACTTAACTGGCCAACAAGCGGTGGGTCGGGACGTGCGTCGGAGTGCAACATTGAGGGCTGTCTGAGGCGTGGTGACTTGCGGCCCTTTGTCTTATGAATGGATAGGCCAAGACACTTCTGGAATCTGGAACAACCCATGCGATTGCTGGAAAGCACCTGTGGAAACTACTGGCATCAGAGGTCCCATAAGGCTGCGAATTCACTTATTGCCGCTGACTGACAGCCGAAGGAGCTTTCAGTGCAAATGCTGGGAAAGCCAGAATGACAAAGTGACTTGCCTGCCCCCCTTGCAAGCCTTGCAACCCGAGGGCTGGATTGGACGCCCTTCGGCAACGCGTACTTCTTGACAGCGGAGTGCGGAGGAGTGCCAGCTCCTCCAGGACGAAACCCTGTGTGGTGTTTTGGTGCATGGCACGTTCCAACTCTGCGAAATGAGCTGGGGGCAATCCATAACTGATGATCCTTCTGCAGAAGAGCACATGGAGAAGCTTGCCAGTCATTTCACGGGACCTAGGGTGTTTGCTGCTAAAGCTGGGCTGGATCGGGGTGATAATCACGTTCCGTTCTTCAAGAGAGATGCTTGCTTTGAGCCATTTTTGACAACACCTTAAATTGAGAGCCCAGGTTTGACCACCTGCAGCAAACGAGGATGTGCTTGAATATGCTTTTGTATAGCCGCATCACGCAGAACCTCCACATAAAAATGAGCTTTCGTGCTGCGACCTTGGAGAGTGCCTTAGGATTCTGTGATAGCCTTGCGAGCAAGACAGGCTGAGTGTGCTGATTCGAAGAATCCCAGAAGAACGCAAAGAACAGGACAAAACAAACTCACGGCCTATAATTAGCAGCAACCGACGCACTCGAGTGGTTGCCACCACGACATGAAGTGTTGCATGTCCACAGTTTTCCCATTCAAGCCGCGGACCAAAAGCCAGCCACTGTGCAAGGCTGTGGCACCTCAGCCTCATGTCTCTACAACTCCACGGTACGCACCTGCTTTTTTCAACACTGCGGTCTTGGAGGCCAGCGAAGGTTTCTTAGATTTGCTTTGCCAGTGCAGCTCAGATACAGGTGGTTGAGGAGGTCTTCCGCGAAAACTGCCCAGTGGGGCCGTTACTCCAACCCCTGATAGTTTGATTTGTTTTGGCGCAGGCCTAGCTAGCGCATGGACAGTTTTCGTTCAGACAGGCGGCATCGGCACATGCTGGGATTTGATGCTTGTCATGGTCATTGGCAAACCTTGATTATTCTATCAGATTCTATCAAGCACGCTTGTGATTCCATGGCCAGGCTACCGAACACCCTTGGCAAACGTCAATCCAAAGACAGCAGCTTTAAAGTTGTAGAGGACGCACTTTCAGTTTAAACCATGCCATGCTGCAACAATACTATGCTGCCGGGTGCCCTCTAGGTGCTGAAAGGACGATTTGGAGTACGTGGGCTGCATATTTTGCAAGGGTCTGCTGTAGGCCTGTGCAGGCACCCCTTTCGCCGACTGCTATTCTCCGGGTGCGCTGCATTGCCAACATGGTCGCGTTGAGTGCCTGGCCAATGAGATCGAGGCCATGCAACGGGTTTCTTGGATCGGGTCAGTTCGCTCTGCGTGGTTCAGAAGAGATCAGAAGAGAGCCCTGGTTCCCTAGCTTGAACCGCCAAACACGTCTCAACGGACCCACAGAGCCAGCAAACTGGTAGGATATCTCTGGGCTATTCATGCATCTCTTAGTTTGTGGCTCGCTTGATGTTACCAGCTAAATCTGTTTGCAAGGTTCGTGAAATCGCTTCTGCCACCCCCCATGTGAGCGCTACCCCGAGGACTAAAGACCGCTCGGTGCACTTTGACCTATATATACCTGTTTAGCTTGACGTGCCACATGAATTTGACGCAATGTCAGCGCATAGGGGTTTTGTGCAGCTCGAAATGCGCCTCATTGAGCTGACTTGCGAAGCTGCGGCCCGAACAATCCTGTGATGAGCAACAGCTGACTTGGATGTGACAGCGAGATCTTGTAGGCATCATGCTTAGACTGCCAACCCCTTGCCCGCTGTCGCTAGCCCAGGAGATCTTACACTCTACACTCAGTGGAAGGAACTCCTTGATAGTGAAGATTCAACTATTCCAAGCCCCAGCGCAAGCAGACCTAGGCAGAGACGAGAAAGAGTATGAGCAACATAAGCAAACGTGGACATTGTGCACCAACCGCTCGTGGGTGAGCAGCTACCGCGACGCGTGAAAACTTATGCCTGCGGCAGATAGAACAAGGTAGCGCGCAGGATTAGTTGTGAAGAATCTGCCTTCTGATAATTTATATAGGTGCCTCACCCTTTCGAGTGCCGACTCGTTCGTCTGATGTCTATTAAACGAGGACCTTCAGACTTGTGGTGACAGCAGCCTGGTCTCAACGTCTGCAACGTCTGAACGGTTGCCAGCAGCATCATCGTAAGAAGTTGGACAATGCTTTGTGGGCCCGGCCGTGCCTGGAACGTGTCCAATCGGCTATCGTCTACCTGTGCGTTGTCCATAAGATCTATCGCCGGGCTGCGTGCTGTTCAAATATAATCTGCAGGCATGCGCCAAGATGCTCGACGCGGAAAGCTGCTTGTTTCTTTTAGCATTCGTGCAAAGCTACCCGCAGAAGCAATACGGGTGACGGGGTGTGTGCCATTTCCTCATGAAAGCAAAAGATCTAGAATTTATTGAATTTTGAATCAACTGCCTTCCGGGATTTCCTCATCTGTCGATTCCATTCTAGCAGTTTCTGTGTCCAGCTTTCTGGGTGCATGGTACTTGCATTGCTTTCATAAGCGGTCACAGCAAGTCTTCCCCAAAATTACTGCAGTCCAGTTCATTCCCGAGCCCACTCTCACAGATTTCGAGAGGCTGTGCAAGGGTGTCACATACCTGGGCAAGAGCCCAATACCAAGGTTCTTGGCCCATCTCGCGATGCATCGAGACGGCCTTCTATAGCGGAAAGCTCCAGACGGGCAATTCCACACCTGCTGACGTCCATTCAGCCGCTCTTCTCAGACACGTGTGGAAGTAAGTTGGTAATTTATGGCTTTTATGCCACAACAGCTGCACATCAGAGCCCCCCACTAACGAGGGCGCCCCCCAGAATGAGAGCCTATCAAAAAGTCGGGTTCCACAGAATAAGAATCATAGTTTGAGATGATTTGAGATGGGAGAGCCTCAGACTCTTTAGTTTTGGGACTTCACATTCAGCCATCTTAAACCTAAACCGTATTATCTTTAGGGTCTGGAAAGTATTGGCGTCAATCCTAAAGTTCGTTTGGCCAAAAAAGGCTTCTCTCTTTAAAGCATTCTTTGACCCCTACTAATGTCTCTCTGATGCTCAGAAATGCTTTAAATCTAGGGGATTTAACTAATGATGAGCTCGGACTACTCATTGACACGTATCAATGCCCAGGACCCACTTGCATGATTCAACATTTGATACCGTGATGGATTCGCGTGTGTTCTCGATATGCCCTCAGATCTTTGTCCTGCACAAGGCCGCAATGTGTGCAATTTGGGGTGCTTCAAGAAGCTCATGGTTTCACAGGTATGCTACGTAACAGAGGGCGTGCGTTGCGGAGCGTGATAGAGCTTCTACCGGCGCATAGCGCAGTATGACATCAAAGAAGTTGTGTGGTCTCTTCTGACTTTCGCTGTCAGACCACATGCGACGGTGGCGGCCAGCTAGGACTTGCCATCCCGCTGAATCCCACTCAAGGCCCCTTAATCTGCGCAGTTCAAGCTTCAAGTCCCACAGTCCCAAGATTCCCAAGACCACTGTTAGCTCATCTTAGCTCAGCCTCCAAGGTGGCAGCAAGCTGCGGCATCACAGACAAGACCTTCGAGTTTTGCAAGACACATGGCCATGCTTCTGTCGTGGCCATGGCGAAAGCTACACCTCCCCACCCAGGCAGAGAGAGGATCACATGAGCTACAGAAGCGGATGTGGATAGCCTTTGTATTCAGTGTTAGCTGGTGGAGGCAGTTGGCCGACTGCCATGAAGTGCATGCGTCTCAACACGAATCATGATTCCTGCTTCTTCAAGCCCAACAGATCCAACCGTAAAGCCCGGAGCTAGTTGGGCGCTTGCGTGAGTGACTGCTTCGCAAACAAGCCAAGTATGCATGGTCTGGCTTTTTGTAACTTCACAATGTGCCAATGGCTGCAGGTGTCCCATACGTGTTGGTGAACGGTGTCGTTCTGTCTGAGACCACAGATTTGCTGAGCAAGGTTTGCAAGGCTTATGCAGGACCTGAGCTGTTGCATCCCGTGTGCTTCTGAAAGGCTCAGTTACAGTTGAATCTTGACAAGTTTGTTTGAGTAGCAGACTGACTGATGACAGAGCTGGCAGGAGAGAAGCCTGCTGGCTGCCTGACAGCACAACCAACCCTGCACATGTGATTGGTGCTGGCTGCTGCACACACCGCCGGGTCTACAGACAGATACCAAAGCCGGAAGGGCTCCAGCAAAGCACCAGGCCAAAAGGCAGAGAGAAAATGCAGCCTCTCAGCCTTTATGTACACTGGGACTCGACCTCAGCGGCCTCAAAGGAATATGATGAGCATAGGAGAGTGCATGTTTTTGACTATAGTGTGGATAAGCCGGACAAGTCGACCTCAGAATCTAGGAAACTGTTCACAGCGTGAAGATGACCGAGAAGAGTGCTCACCTCCCCAAGTTCCAGCATCACTGAATCATGTTTCATCACCACAGGTCAGATCCTGGGCCCTCGGGCACCTGACAGGTTTAGAACCCTCCTCTGGCCATTTCCACACGGGCGTCTCACCTGATTAGCTAACAGCGGCAAAAGGCAGATCTGCGCAAGCCAAGCCGAGTGCGTGCAATTAGAATTTGCTTGCAGTCTGGATCAACTCCACTCGCTTGATTCTGAGACCTAAGCCCCCACTGAACTTCCCTTATGGAAAAGAGGGAGAGTTATATACGGTTATGTCTGTTTGCTTCACGGCCTATTGTACCATGCAATTTGCATCAGCTGCTTGATGAATACCATCAGCCTGGAAAATTAACTGAAGAATCCAGTTCACCGCCGGAAGCTTCATCCAGACTGACGGGGTGGATCGCTGGACCGAGGATCCATACCATCCGACGGGTGAAGCGGCCTGGAACAAGGAGCTGGAAAGGCGCCGCAACTGCCTTTTGAGTGTATTTCTGAGCTGGAGATTGATCTGCTTCAAAGGCTAAGTCATTTCAGGTCGGTTCAGAACATTCGAGGACAGAGCGAGAAAGAGAGAGAGAGAGCAAGCTGTGGGCCAAGCTTCCTGAATCTGCATTCCATACTTGCTGGTGCCGACCTGGAGTGACCGCGCATCTAGGGCTCGGGGCAGTGCCCCGGCTCGTCCGTAGGGGCGAGCTTAGCCCGTAAAGAAAGAAAGAAACAAGCAGTGGGCTGTTCCCCCATTCCCTCGGGGGTGGACGAGTGGCTGCGAGCAGAGGCTGCGCAAGTCCCGTTCGTCTGGTCCACCGCAGAGGCCCCAAGTACTCCCCATACTGATTCTGATTCTCCATATACTCTATTTACAGAACTGCTTGCTTTGCTTAACGGGCCTGCTCTTCTCCTGCCGGCCTTAAGGCTGCCCGTAACGTTCTGGTTAAAATCGGTTCCGGTGTGAAACTATGCCCAGTTCAGGCTTCGTTTCAGAAGAGTAGATAAAGACGACGACAAACAAGCCACAAACAACAGTTTATATATACGTAGCCTCTGGAAACAGTATTGCCCCGGCTCCAGCTCCTGAGGGCTGAGTTCAGAAAAGCCGGCTCCTTCTTTGCTCTCTCCCTCCAAGACGCCCAGCTGGTTCAGGCAGTGCTTGCGCAGCGGTTGCCCTGCAGGTCGGCAAGGTGGTGCTGGCAGTACTCCGGCAGCGGTTCACGAGGTGGACCGAACTCTGGGGCAGTAGTGAAGAGGGCCCCGGGCAAGAAGGCACGTAGTTCTGCAACCAGTTTGCTCGCCCAAGGCTGGCACCGCTTCGTAGTGGGGGATTCCTATGGCTGCGATGCGAAGGGGCAACAGTCCGGCAGGTGTCAAGGGTTTAAGGCCTAGCCTCGGCTGAATTTGCCGTCGCCACGTGGGCTCAAGACAGGCCATGGAAGAGGGGCCGCCCCTCCGCGGGGATTAGAGCTACAGGAGGAGGTTATTATGCGGATCCCGAGATAAGCTTTTGACAAGAGCGCGTCGCTGTTCTTAGGTAGATTTTTTCCGAGTGAGATCGCACTTTTTTACGACCTCCTCTCGGAGAATCCGATTCCAAAGGAAAGTGTTGAAGGTGAAGGATAAATTTGACCTCTGATGACCTCTGGCTTCCTATGTAGCTTCCTGGCAGATATTGGGACGCGACTTTTGTAACTTCGGGAAGTATTCTGGCAATGCTCTTCCAACTTTTCATTGGGGACTTCCAAGAGCTCGGAGAACTTACATAAATGCCACGGCCGCAAAAGCTGCTGAAAATGCGCAGAGACAACAATCTGGAGTGGCTGAGAAGAATAAGTATCTTTGTTGGAAAAGCTGCAGAAGTTGCGGGGGTACCGCGGGCTGCGCAAAAGACGAGGACAGCAGAAGCAGCAAAAATGGAGGCTGAAAACAAGTGGAAAAAAACGGCTCCCGTATGTGAAAAACAGGTGGCAGAGAAGGAATATTTGATGTCCAGAATTTGGGTACCAATTGGAGACCAGGGAGCCAAAGCAAGCGACAAATTGCACAAACATTGGGAGAACTGCAATTGGCACCAAAGAAGACAACTGGAGAAGAGGGCCTGACGATGTTTATGAGAAATCAAGCAAGATATGGTCATGCTGAAATAGCCAACGTGGTCGAACTGGCTGCCCGACTACAAGGAGCAGACGTTGGGATCAAAGAGGGGTCTGCGTACAAAGTGGTCGAGGAGTTCCTTCATCGCCATGGAAAATGAGGAAGCTGCCGAGGGACGGAAGTGAGTGGAGATCGCAGGGAAGCGTGTAATAGTACAATCATAGGCGTGAGCACTAGGAGTGAGCATGTGACAAAGGCGCGCCGTTGAGTATGGGTTAGCCAATTTTCATAGGAGCACCGAAGATGTGAGGTAAGAGGAGAAGTCAGTGATGAGCGTTTTCGGATTCAGAATTTGGCATGCGCCCCAGTAATCCCGGGACAAATGACCAGATAAGAACAACGAACCATGCAAACAAATTCGCCCACCTTCCGCGCAAGGACTGTTGGTTGTCAGATGAGGCGGCTTTCCCAGCGGTTGTCCACAAGGTAAGGAATTTGGGAAGAAGAGAGCGTGTAATTCAGGCACAATTTCGATGGAGGAACCATGCAACACAAGGGGGTGCGTCGTCCTGAAATCAAAGGTATGTTTTGTGAAGGCGAGGTGGAACATACCAACTCGATGAGAATTTGAGAGCAGTGCAAGCAAACAATGTACATTCTCAGGGCAACGAAAGATGGAGCAGAGGAGCGAGGTGGCAGTTAAGCGAGGATGTGGTGGCAATGAAGCGCTGTTACTGTCGTCAAATCCGGATTCCGGATCTCCTAACTAGCAAAACAGGGCTTTGAGGTGTGAGGGTTTTGCAATAGAATCAATGTTCTCCAGGTAGGAAGGCCGCAAGGACAGACGGAACGAGGAGAAGGGGACGGGGCGGATGCGCAATCACTGTCCTTCGCAATCCTTTGTCGTGTCTTTCTGGTCCAATTGTACAAGGATGGAAAGTATTTATTTTCCAGTACCACTGGAGCGTGCAAACACCGGAAGGGCGCAGATGGGGAGACGTCGGAACCACAAGTACTAGCCGGTGGACCTCTCTGCTTCGTTCTTGCTTTGCTTGAAGCCTGTGCTACTTTGGGCACGGGATTTGACATGATCCCAGTTTTTGCCAAGGCAGAAGAAGACGGAGTGCACAGCTAAGCAGTTCCTCTGATAGTCGCTTTGCTGTTGTGGGCCTTAGCCTTTTGCGGAAGTACAGTTCTTGGCAATGAGCCTTTGGGAAAAGAATCGGGAAGAGGACTAACGGCGAGACCATGACGGTAGAGGACACGGAACAAGTGGCTGCGCACGAGCGGGAAGAGCAGGACCTCAGCGATGGGGAGCATTATGACGCCCTGCGCACCACCGCCATGGACATCGCAGGGGGGCTGATGGAAGAAGGAGTCTGCGCAGAAGCCCGGAGACCCTTGAAGAGGAATCCACGACGGAAGTATGTGGAAACGAAGGTGGCGAACCCCGATATGATGATCACTAGAGCCTGAGTGAGGCCGAGCAACGAGAACAGCTGAGCTAATACGGTGTGGCACGCCACAGAACCAAGGCAATGCAAATTGCAGTTAGACCAAAAGTAGAGTACAGAACCAAAGACAAGCCAATTGAATGTTAATATTAATGTTAGTTCATGTTAATTCGAACATCGCTAATGTAGCTGAGGAGATGAATTGCTGGTGTATGTACCATAGTTTTGCACACCGGTCATGGCTTGTTTTGTCTTGAGTGCCTAGGGCTAGGGAATCTACTCCAACCTTGTTAGGATTCATGTCATGCTTGTAGAGCCATCGTTTACATTTCGATTGTGCAACTAGAACCTTCCGCGTAACTGTTCTGTTTGTTTGGATTGCTTGGCCACTTTGTTTGTGCAATTGCTCTGCCCTTTGGTCGTGTTTCCCAAAGGCGGCCCGTAAGGAACGAACGTGTCACGACAACCCTTCATAACATTCATAACCGCACACAACCGGGAGGCCTTACAGCCGTTGGAACTCTCGCCACTCCCGTAACGCAAGGCAGGCAGAGCGAGACAGAGAGAGAGAGCTCTCCGTAGCCATTTTGGCTCAAGTCTGCTGCCGCCTCCCTCGCGGGGGCTTTTGGGTGACAGCCCCTCCGCGGGTACTGGGTGGTTACCTGGTCCCTTGGAAAGTGGACGTTCATCTCAGAGGGGCGGGCTTGGGCAACATACCGTTGCCATTTCAGATCAAGTCGGGGAACACAAGACGCCCCCTGCGGCAGCCAACTTACTGGGAGAAGAGATTTTCTTTTTAGTGGGTGATAAGGGTTCCCGGATGACTGAGTGATTTCCTTGAACCTCTGGTGAGGGATGAGGCCCCTGCCGTGGGAGATTGTGAACCCGATCATAGTGACGTAGTGAGCTACTTGAACCTAAAGCTTGGGAAAGGGTTTGACTTCGATCTCTGGTCACCTAGGTTACCAGGCTTCGGGAACAGGACTTGCGATTAGGAAAGGGAAGAGAACCTCAGCCATGGCAACTCGCGCCAGCTGTACACCACATAGTGTGGGAACCGGACAAGGAGCAGAGAGGGAAGAAGGACAGAACTTGGAAAGGCCATCATCCTCCAGCGCGAGGCCTGACAGAGAGGAAAGTGTATGTTTGGTCTGCGCACTGGGAACCAAAGGCAGCCACGCGTA